GGGGGGGTGGCAGAGACGGGGGCATGGAGCCCTTTGCACAAGTGGGGACGTGCAAGGGGCGTGCAAGCTGCTAGGTGTGTGCAGGAAGGGTGCACCTGGCTTTGCCCAACTGTGGGAGATGAGCCGTGTGCAAACGTGTGCGTGTGTGCACTGGATCCTCTGTGTGTGTGTGTGCATGCGTGCACGTGTCTGTGGATCCTGGTGTGCCTGGGTCCATGGGTGTGTGCATGCATCCGTGTGTGTGTGTGCATGCATGTGTGTGCCCCTGCCTGTCCCTGTCCATGCAAGCCTACGGCTGTGGGTGCATGTGTGTTTGGGTGCGTGTGCCTGGGGGTATCCGTATGACCCAATGTGTGTGGACAAGTGTGTGTCTGTGTGTCCATGGGCTTGTGTGCGTCTGTGTCTGTGGGCATGTGTCTGTCTGAGTTTCTATGTCCATGTGTGTCTGTCTGTGTTCACGTGCCCGTGTGTCAGTACCTACGTATGTGTGCATGTGTGTCTGCATGTCCTTGTCCATGTATGTCTATGTCCATGTGTGTGTCCCTGCATGTGTGTCTGTGTATCCGTGTCCATGTGTCTGCCTGTGTGCATGTGTGTGTCTGTGTGTGTCCATGTGTGTCTGTCTGCCTGTGTGTCTGTGGGTGTTGGGATGCGTGTCTGCTTGTGTCCCTGCCTAGGCATGCGCGTGTCCTGTGTCCATGGGTGGCGGGGGCGGGGCCCGGGCCCGGGCCTGGGCCCAGGCCGGGGGGCCGGAGCCGCCCCCTCCCCCCCCCACACACACACACTTTCACTTCCCCAACCCGCTTCCCCTTTGAGTTTCTCCGGGTTAAAAACAGCCACGAGTTACCGACACTGGCCCTAAAATAGCAGCTTGCAGTACCCCAGATCCCCTGGGCTCCCCCAGACCCACCCAAGCCCTCCCAGACGACCCAAGACCTGCCCCAGGACCTCCCAGGCCTGCCCAAACCCCTGTGGGCCCTCCTGGACCCCCCCCCCAACCTTCTCCCAGACTCCATGGGCCCTCCCTGACCACCACCTAAAGCTCCTCCCAGACCCCCCTGGGCCCTCTCAGACTCCCCCAACCTCCCCCCAGACCCGTATGGGCTCTCT